GTCGGCTTATACTCGAGTATATACGGTACTTCTTGGCATGTGTAATTCTGGCAAAGTAGTGATCCGTGTGGTATATCGGTTACTAGCAAAGCACAGGATAAATGTTGCACTTGCTGCATAGAATATGAATGTGGGGTTTTGATTTATGTCAACCCCAATGTGGGGACTGAGTTGTTCAAATTGACCTTTGCTTTTGTTTTGCTTTTATTGAAAGTAACAAAAGAACAGAAAAAGTTGTATGATAACAACTGTGAAGTTGCTTTCATTGAATTATGTTTTGGGGAAAAGAACCAAATTCCTGTTGGGGAAGGAGAGCAGCTAGATAGATATTCATCAGTAGCAAAAGGAGTAACAATTTATTGTGCCAGAGGTTTCAAACACCGTGAATTCTTGTTTATATATTCAATAAAATAAAAACAAATCCTCAATAAATGTGTTATTTCAAATTGTCATTTGGTTTAGCATTGCCCTTAGTGAATAAATGGTCCATAAATAACACAAAGGCAGTCCATAAATAACACAAAGCATAAATAAATACAAATAGACCATAGCATAGCAGTGGCATTGTGTTTCTTTCTATAAGAACTGAGTTTTGCCTTGCATCTTCATGTTAAATTGGGAGCAACTGGTTGGGGGTGTTCACGGTCTTTGCACCTCCTGCAGCGATTGTGTCAGTGCCAAAAATAGATGCATGCGAACTATTTTGGGAACGTTGTTTCCTAACGCAAGGAGTCAAGAAAATAGATCATTCAGGAAGCTTTGCTGTCTTTTTCCTTTCTTGTCTTTTCCTTGTAATCATGGCTAATCTGATGTAGCAGATTTTAGGAATTAAATGTAATAATTCGCTGTACATTCTAACATGCTGCCCAAAATATTTTTCCAAGCTTGGAGGAGCGTTTTGTAATGGGAAACATGTAATTTTACATGTGTGTTGCATTTCTTTGAATAAAAATGAAATTTATTACAAGCATGATAAAACATTTTTCCAGATATTTTTTTGAGGTCATTGTCATTTAAAAACTGACACCTATTCTCATTCTTACGTAATGGATACTTACATTAAGCAGCACGGTGCTGAATATTTTCATGTTATTGTTTTCATTATCATTTTTTTCATGTCAGGAGCGACTTGAGAAACTGCAAGTTGCTTCTGGTGCGAGAGGACTGGCCGTCTGCAAGGATGTTGTCCAGGGGACTCCCAGATGTGTGATGTTTTACCATCCTTGTGGGAGGCTTCTCTCATGTCCCTGCATGAGGAGCTGGAGCTGACAGAGGGAGCTCATTCATGCTCAGATGATATTTATTTGATTGAAACTGAGGTTGAAACTGAGATCTGGTATGGTGTGCACTGAATCACCACTCAGCTATGGAAACTTACCCCCGGTTTTGGCCCCAATGGTAGCGAGAGGCAACCATGAAAACTCTTTGCTCAACTATCTAAGGCAAACACTTGGCATAATAAAGCATACTGGGTACAAGTTAACTAGCAAAGAAAGTGGGATGATGGTCACATTGGGAGTCAAGGCTCTTCTGGATTCTTGGACCAGTTTTTAAACACGCTTCTGGAATGAGCTTCATGTATTCCAAGTAGACTGAAACGTACTTAGTCCTAATCTTTTTTATACCGGTTTTAAACCACTTCATTGAATGTGTTGTAATAGCAGATTCCCAGATTAGTTTAGTGTTTACATCTTATTTTATTTTTCTGGCTATTTAATATTTAATGTTTATTTTTCTTACGTGATATTTGTCTTTACTGTTCCAATGTAGCACAAATCCTATGTAAAATCATACTACGTATTTTTGACATTAATATTGAAATCTGAAATATATACAGAAAGTCTTTACTTTGGGCAAGACATGTACTCACAGCCTTCGAAAAGGGCAATGGAAACCATCCTCCGAATAAATTTTTGCTACCGATAGTTTTGTCTTATGAGCCAGAAGTACTTTAAAGGCTCACAATAACACAAAGGTAGCAACTGCTACTAGAAATGTAGTAGTGGCGTGGACATATTTCATTTCTTTTGCCATTTTCAAGAGCTTGAAAGAGCAATTTAAAATCCCAGAATCTCCGAGGCAAGGTAGCTGCAGGCCATACTGTTTAATGGTTTGGGAAACAATAGTGCGCAAGCTCAACTTTCCTTTCTTAGAGCTGTCGCAACCTAGGTTCCTGCGGGAGAAAACCTTGCTAGCATGTCCCTGACGTCATGAGCCTGCGCCTCTCCCGCCCCTTTCTCCGCCTCTTTCTCCTTGCGAGAGTGGTTTTTCCTTTGCTAGGGCAGCATTGCCAGCATACTCTCTCAGTTGAATTCTGCCAACTGAGAGAAAATGCGGGCAATGCTGCCCTAGCAAAGGAAAAACCACGCTGGCAAAGAGAAAGGGGCGGAGAAAGGGGCGGGGCGAGAGGCGGAGTCTCATGACGTCAGGGACATGCTAGCAAGGTTTTCTCCCGCAGGAACCTAGTTTGCGACGGGTCTTAGACTATGCTATGCCCATCTTTTTATTTATTTTCTGATATAAATTTCAAAAGGATTTTTCAGAGTAACAATATGGTTAACAGTGTACGTCTGTACCAATCTAAATATTGCCTGTGGGCAAGATGATAGAGGAATAGAAAACAGAGGAGGAGTGTGTGTAAAAAGCCGATGGTACAGCTCTTAGAAAAGGAGCAAACTAAGTGGTAGTGGTAATATGAAGAGGTTGCAAGTGTATGTATGATAGGGACACGCCAGATTTCAAAAGGGAAAGGGGACTTTTCATACTACACAAAATTACAGTGTTCTGGTTCTGATTTAAGTGTCATAGCTGCATCCTGTGGAATCTCATTTTTGTAATTAGGGGAGGCACTCTCTGACTGAGAAGTACTTCCCTAAATTACTAATCTCAGGATTCCATAGGCTGCAACCATGGCAGTTAAAGCGGAATCATAGTGCTATAATTATGTAGTGTGAAAGAGCTCCAGACTGAGTGGTTGTAGGTTTTTTCGGGCTATATGGCCATGTTCTAGAGCAGGGGTCCTCAAACTAAGGCCCGGGGGCCGGATGCGGCCCTCCAAGGTCATTTACCCGGCCCTCGCTCAGGGTCAACCTAACTCTGAAACGACTTGAAAGCACAGAACAGCAACAACAATCCTATCTCATCAGCCAAAAGCAGGTCCACACTTCCCACTGAAATATTAATAAGTTTATAGTTGGTAAAACTCTTCTTCATTTTAATTATTATATTGTTTTAAAGTGATTTTTGCAGTACAAATAATATATGTGCAGTGTGCAAAGAAATTAATTCATTTTTTTTCAAGTTATATTCCGGCCCTCCAACAGTTTGAGGGACTGTGACCTGGCCCTCTGGTTAAAAAGTTTGTGGACCCCTGTTTTAGAGGCATTCTCTCCTGATGTTTTGCCTGCATCTATGGCAAGCATCCTCAGAGGTAGTGAGGTTTATTGGAACTAGGAAAAGGGGTTTATATATCTGTGGAACGACCAGGGTGGGACAAAGAACTCTTGTCTGTTGGTGCTAGGTGTGACTGTCTCAACTGGCCATCCTTGATTAGCATACAATGGTCTGACTGTGCCTGGGGCAATCTTTTGTTGAGAGGTGATTAGATGTCTTTGATTGTTTCCTCTCTGTTGTTTTGCTGTTGTAATTTTAGAGGTTTTTTTTAATACTGGTAACCAGATTTTGTTTATTTTCATGGTTTCCTCCTTTCTATTGAAATTGTCCACATGCTTGTGGATTTCAATGGCTTCTCTGTGTAGTCTGACATGGTGGTTGTGAGAGGGGTCCAGCATTTCTGTGTTCTCAAATAATACTGTGTCCAGGTTGGTTCATCAGGTGCTCTGCTATGGCTGACTTCTCTGGTTGAATATTCTGCATTGCCTTTCATATTCCTTGATTCGTGTTTGGACAATGCTGCGTTTGGTGGTCCCTAGGACTTGTCCACAGCTGCATGGTATACGGTAGACTCCTGCAGAAGTGAGAGGATCCCTCTTGTCCTTTGCTGAATGTAGCATTTGTTGGATTTTCTTGGTGGGTCTGTAGATAGTTTGTATGTTGTGTTTCCTCATCAGCTTCCCTATGTGGTCAGTGGTTCCCTTGATGTATGGCAAGAACACTTTTCCTCTGGGTGGATCTTTGTCTTGACTCTCGTGGCTTGTTCTCGGTCTTGCAGCTCTTCTGATGTCTGAGGTGGAGTATCCATTGGCCTGTAAAGCCCCGTTTAGGTGGTTCAGTCCCTCCTGGAGGAGGTGGGGTTCACAGATTCTTTTTGCATGGTCTGCCAAGGCTTTAATGGTGCTTCTTTTTTTACTTGGGTGATGGTTGGAGTTTTTATGTAGATATCTATCTGTGTGTGTGGGTTTTCTGTAAATGGTGTGACCCAATTGTTGATCTGGTTTACGGATGACTAGGACATCTAGAAAAGACTGAAGCTCCAGACTGAATTTGCCTGCTCTTTATTCTGAATAACTTGGTAACAGCAAAATGAATTTGTATATTAATATGTACTAATCATGTACTAAATTTCTAATCTGAAACAGGAGAGGGATACTGGCTATTTGGCCCAAAACAATGTTTCTGTTGCTTCTAAGAGAGCCTAAAACATATCTCAAATACTCATTGATTTGCTTTGTATCCAGGAGAGTGCCTTTTCAAACCTTTTAGGCAATCTCGCTTGAATGAAGGCTTCTCAATTTCTCCTTCTGAAATGGCACCATCTCATGGGTTAGCCTTCCCTCCCTATAGCCATGCTGACTAGAGATCACTGGAGTTATAGTGCAATTTATCTGGAATTGCCCAGGCTGGCGTAACCCATTTTATAAGCAAACACAGTGTTCAGAGAGTTGGGTTTATTCTGAGAGATGTGCAGCACTCTTGAATGAAAGCTGACAGGAACTGATCTTCACACACTTACGGTTTTGTTGAAGCTAAGGTTTAACTTCAGAAATAGGTTTTATAGTGTACGTGTAATAATCCATATTTTTGTTTCTTTTATCTCCTAGCCTTCCCATGGTTTGGCATGGATATCGGTGGAACTCTTGTTAAACTGGTCTACTTTGAACCAAAAGACATTACGGCTGAAGAGGAACAAGAGGAAGTGGAGAATCTAAAAAGCATTAGGAAGTACTTGACTTCCAATACAGCCTATGGTAAAACTGGGATTCGAGATGTCCACCTTGAACTGAAAAACTTGACTATGTGTGGGCGTAAAGGGAACCTTCATTTTATCCGTTTTCCAAGCTGTGCTATGCACAGATTCATACAGATGGGTAGTGAAAAAAATTTCTCAAGCTTGCACACCACGCTTTGTGCCACAGGAGGTGGAGCTTACAAGTTTGAGGAAGACTTTCGAATGGTACGTTGAACTTACACACAACCTTGTTTATTCCCCCCCCCCCCCCCGTCTTGCTGCCAAATCAAATGCAGAGAGAATGTTTGGGTCTGTCAAACCTATGACTTTGTATTCTATTTTTGTCACTTCAAACTAGCCAATATGCTTGTAAATTATGTTAACCGGGAGGTGGGAGGGGGACGTTTTTGCTTAGTGCAATCTGTCCTTTAAACTGGAAGGTGTTTCTCTGTGTCCTTGTTTCATCACATTAACAAATGTGTCATGAAAATTTCTCAGCTGAGAATTCTGCTGATACACTTCTTGTGAAATACAGTGGCATTTAGACTAAACACAAGCATGTACAATAGAGTTGGGCCCAAAACACTATTAGCAAAAAGATTTGTAGTTTTTGGATAGCCATTTTTGTGTAATTTTCAAAAACAGAAAGGGGAAGAGAGAGATGAAAAGACCAGTGAAACGAATTCAGAGAAACAATATTTTCGGAAAGAGTTAAGTCCAAAAATGCACAAGGCAGGGGGATCTGTAGCATCTCTTTCTCTCCCTGGCAGAAGAAGTCTTCTCCATTTTTTCTTGGAAAGTTCCCTCCTCCTCTAGAGAGGGCCCTTAGAACTCACTTTCCCAGTGGCACTAATATAGGGTAGCCATTGAATGTTCCTCTCGGAGCATGATGGGAGTTGAAGTTTCTCTCTCTGTTTCTCAGCCAACAGAAAGCCTGGTAGTGTCCATGCTTTTATTGGCTGAGAATGGGAACTACTAGTGACTACAATTTCCAGAACTCTCTCTTAAAATTTCTCTTATTTTAAAAAATGTTATGTTAAAAATTTAAAATAATTATAAAAATCAGTAGATTGGCGAATTGTTTTGAAACTTGGCAGGCCTACAGTTGTAAATAGGGTCTACAACTGAGGTAGGTTTCATGCAGATAGGCCGTAAAATGGCTGAGGATTGAGCCTTTAAAGCAGTGGTTCTCAACCTGTTTTGGCCAACAACTCCCAGAAATTGCAGCCAGTTTACCAGCTGTTAGGATTTCTGGGAATTGAAGGCCAAAACATCTTGGGGACCCATAGGTTGAGAATCACTGTTTTAAAGTTTCCCATTGTAGCCAATAGGCCGAATCTCTGCCAAATGAAATGGAAAACACTCCTCCCCTCTCAGGTATCTTCCTGGTAAACAAAATGAGGGATCAGATGGAAATGGACCCAAAAACTGTAAGCCTTTTGCCCCAAATACACATGAATAATTTACAACTTTTGGGTAACCAAGCCCCTAGTCTTCACATGCAGTTTTAATGAAGTCAAAGTATGTAAACTAGCTTTGGTATTTAACCACCACCACTATTATTCATTTAAATTATTTCTAAAATGCATATGTAGAGTGGAAATTCTATTGCTATCCATATACTCTCACTATATCTTGCCTTTGGAGTCTCTAGCTAACCTGCTGAGAAGAGCAGCAATCCAACAACTGCAATTGGGGAGTCACCAAATTCCTACCCTGGCCTGTACGAAATAAGTCAGAATAAAATCTAGGCTGTGCTCATACACCTGGAGCCTAACGCCAGTTGGAAAAGGTGATGAGAGAGAAAGCATAGAGTAATGTTTCTCAAACTTTGCTCCTCTAGGTGTTTTGGACTTCAGCTCCCAGAAATCCCAGCCATCTTACCAGCTGTTAGGAATTGTGGGAGCTGAAGTCCAAAACACATGGAGGCACAGAGTTTAAGAAACAATGGCATAGAGTGTAGAAAAATGTGTTGAGATAGCTAGAACAAAATGGTGAGTTGGTAACAGACACTGGCATGCTTTAATGCTAGGCTATTTGCTACTGCTTGTATTAGGATACAGATACCGTACCAATTCTCAAATGCAGTGATTCCCAAACTCATCTTCCAGGTGTTTTGGACTTCAACTTCCAGAAACCTCAGGGATTCTGGGAGCTGAAGCCCCCAAAACACCTGGAAGGCCAGAGTTTGAGAAACACTGCTTTACTTGGTGACAGAGGAAAGAGTTTTCCTATGTTTTTACTCCTTTTAAATCTCCTTTCCTATGTCTCTAACATTATTTACATCTGGGGTAGGAAAAATGTGGTGTATAACCCCTGGTTTTGTAGCCCTCAACCTCCCAATTTTTATTGTTTATTTTTAGTGTCATTTTGGACAGTATTCACTCAAGAAGTATTCTTATCACTACTACAAGTGTGTGAAAAACCTATACTTGCAAATAACATTGATCTTGGATATGCAAGGCAGTTCAGTGATTCCCTACAGCTATTCCTACCCACACAATGAGCATTCACACTGAGTATAGTCAGGACTGATCTATCACCATATCACCCACAAGGGAGGCGGGTTATAAGCAGATACAACCGGAACAGATTTTTTGACAGTAGGGAATTCTCTTTTTCATCTTCATGATTGTCAGCTGTTGTTTTGAGAAAGACTGGAAAAACTGGTTGTGTGGGATGAGTAAGAACAGCAAACTGTTTTAAAATCACCTCAAGAAGAAAAAGCTCGTTGTGTGGGAGGAATAGGAACTGTGAACTGATTTTGTGAATCACTTGGAGAACTAATGTGGAATTTATACTCTGCCTCCTTTCTGCCTTCCTGTTGATGGATATTTGTGGAACAGTAAATAGACTGCCAGAAAGATTTTTTCAGGATTATGGTTCCTTTTTAAAAAATTAATAAATATCCTGAATTTTGTGTTATTAAAGATATATAGGTTGTGCATCCCTTATTCAGAAACCTGAAATATTCCAAAATTGTCCTCATGGATGACTAAAACAGTGACACCTTGGTTTTCTAATGATTCAGTGTACCCAAACTGTATCATGCACAAAATTATTTAAAATATTGTGTATAAAATTGCTTTCTGGCTAGGTATATAAAGCAAGTGAATTTTGTGTTTAGACTGGGATCTCCTTTCCAATATTATGTACGTACATACAAACACAGGTATTATACAATATAGGGAAATAATTTTTGAATTCCAAAAGTCCCAGTCATTCCAGATAATAGATACTCAACCTATATATGGAAATCTCATGCTTCCAGCTGAGGCGAGCACTTACAGAAGCTAAAGGCATCAGATACATTTGATCTTGGAAGCTAAATTAGGTTAATTGCTGGTTAGTACAGAGATGGGAGACCACCATCAATTACTACATGCTATATTTCAGAGGAAGGAACTGGCAAAATCACCTCTTAAGTATTCTTTGCCTAAGAAAACCATATGAAATTAATGAGGTCACCATAAGTTGTCAGGCACTTTGAAGACACACACATTCACATATTTTCTAAAATAGATGTGAGAAATGTGTGGCCTTCTAGATACTCAACTTCACTTCAAGTCCTTCATCGTTGACTATAATAGATAGGACTTATGAGAGTTGCATTCCAACATAACCAAAGAGCTACATGCTCTCCACTATTACAAAAAGTATCAATGAACTAAATTTTTCCCTTTTGACTTCTGAAAGATTTCCTGAAAACTGGAAGAGTTCTCAGAATTTTCTGTCTTTTTAGAGCCAGTACATGGAGCATATGACTCTTGAGGTCTTGTTGGACTGTGCTCCAAGCCTCTCAGACTTTTGTTTCTTCTAGGATTGAGGGGAGTTGGGGTCCAACAACTGATTTAATATGACAGCAGTTGTTCCCATTGATGCTTTTATTTTTTAAAAAATTTGACTTATCTAAATCAATCTAAGGTACAAGACAAGAAGGATTTTTAAAAATTGATGTAAGAATGCAGACATTCTGATCTTTTCTTTAGCATTTCAAAAACATACAAGTTTTCGTTGTGTTCATAGTAATAGCTGCTTTCCTAAGGTAAAAGTTGAAACTGATACTTCCTTATTATATATAACACCTGTGCTCATATTCCTTGTTTTTCACTTTGTTTTGCTTTGTGCTAAGAGGGGCATGAATTGTTCCAATTTCACAACAGTTTCTTTTTACAATGATATCATTTTTATCTTTTATTTGTTTTACACAAAGAAGTACATTGCAGAATCTACATGGTCATTGCGATACATAATGTATATTTCCAGAGCAGACATGGCAAATGAGCTGTTCCCTCAGTGTAACAGAAGTAGGCAATCTTTTCAGTCCTGATATACTGGAGGTGCTGGAATCTGAAAGCAAACAAATCAGCATGTTTTAGCGTACTGGTGCATGGGGGGAACAATCAGTGGCTCTCAACCTGTGGGTCCCCAGGTGTTATTGCTTATATGTTCAATTGTATTATTTATATTGTTTTATTTGCTTGCTTGTTTGTGGATGTATTGTTGTATTTGTATTTGACGGGCTTGGCCTCATGTAAGCCACTCAAGTCCCTTCGGGGAGATGGTGGCAGGGTATAAATAAAGTTGTTGTTATTATTATTATTATTATTATTATTATTATTATTATTATTATTATTATTATTGACACAAAAGCACAGCAAATGAGACCTATATGCTGGATTTCGTATCACAAAATCACAAGTCGAACACTTCCCAAGCATCTAGGACTGTGTGATATATTTTTGAATGATGCGCACAGATCCAAGTAAGGTGGCCTTTTGCAGTTGACAGATCGTGATTTTGTCAATGATGATGATTGTTGTTGTTGTTGTTGTTGTTGTTATGGCCTACAACTCCCAGAAATCCCAGCCAGTTTGTCAGCTGTTAGGATTTCTGGGAGTTGAAGGCCAAAACATCTGGGGATCCACAGGTTGAGAACCATTGTTCTAGGTGAACCTTCTTAGACTGCTAATCACAGTATTCCATAGGATGGAACCATGGCAGCTAGGAGTGGAAGACAGTGCTACAATTATTTAGTGAGAAAAAAACTGTCGTTTTCTAATCAAGGGGGCAACTAAGCTGGTTGATATACTGTGTTTTGAAAAGCTATATGTATCAAAAACAGAGCATTATATGAAATTATTCCAGACTTTAAATTGTAACTAGTACAGTTCTAGTAATGTAGATATAATTAAAAATATAATTATCATTTATTACATTCATTATATTTTGTAAGTTTGCTTTTGACCTATAACATTATTCATTTATCCAATGTCAACTTCCTACTTTTTGCTAAGACAATATTCTTATCTAGAGTTTTTACCTCAGCTATGGAATGGTGTCAGCTGTATAAATCTTGTTGGTATGAATTCTGCTGAACAGGAACAATCTTCAGGGGTTGACTAGTTAACTTGATTTTAGTTTTGTAGCTATTTTAAAGTGATGTCAGACCACACTTTTTGGGAAGATTGATAACAACAACAACTTTATTTATATCCCACCACCATCTCCCCGAAGGGACTCGGGACGGCTCACAAAGGCACTCAAAGTGCAACCATATAATACAACAGAGTACATAAACAAAATAACACAATGACAATAAGGTCCACCTAAAAAAATTATGTAAAGCATATAAAACCCCTACCGACTTAAAAGATCCAATAAAATGCAGCAGTCGCTGCATATATAAAAATAAACTGTAGTTAATATCAGTTTGAGTGCGACATCAACCTTAATGGATGGGTATCTGTGGACATTCCTTTTGCTCTACCATTTCCTCTGGGAAAACAGTCCTTACAGATTTTTGATATGACATAATTTGACCACAGTGATAGTGTGCCTTGGCCTATGAGCATAACAGTGATTTTTTTCAAGGTGAAACAAAAGGCCATGGTCCAAATCTCTAATGCACAACACAGCTTGACCTTTGTTTTGAAAAAGACAGACAGACAACATTTTAAACTTGAAATGTCCTGTGTAAATAGTTTTTTATTAGTGTAGTGATGGCCTGTTGTGCAACTCAAACAGTACAAAGTACCTTTGCAGAACCCCTTCACCCTTCCCCTTAGTTTTAATGCTGCATCAACATTATGCTCATGTATTAACTTCTCTTCCAGATCGCTGACCTCCAGCTTCATAAATTAGATGAGTTGGACTGTTTGATCCAGGGTCTTCTCTATGTGGATTCTGTTGGTTTCAACGGCCAGCCGGAGTGCTATTACTTTGAAAATGCTGCTGATCCTGAACAGTGTCAGAAGAAACCTTACTGCCTTGATAATCCGTTTCCTATGCTGCTAGTGAATATAGGTTCTGGGGTCAGCATCTTGGCAGTATATTCCAAGGACAACTACAAGAGAGTTACAGGGACCAGGTGACTATACAGCGTTGAAAACAACTTCTTCCCCAATGAAATGGGATAACAACCTGTCTACATCAATGCGAATTACAAGGGGGCTCTGGAACTCAGATAAGAGCTTTCATCACTTGAAGCATATGAGGCCAAATAAATAAAATAATTAATAAAATGGCACCTATGTGTAAGAAAGGAAATCAAAACAACATATGCAACAATGAGATTCGAATTGGAGACTGAATTGCTCTAAAATGTCAGTCAGTATAATCAAAGAGAAAAATTTGGGGGATAGTTGTCTACAATGAATACATATATAAAAATATATAATCAGATATAAAAATCTGAGCTTTTTATGTATCTTCTCTTATTTTCCAGCTCAGTACTTTTAAGATGTTGTTTTCAACATCTAAAGGATTTGTAATCCCTGCTGTGTTGTTATAAAGCCAAGTGAGTGTTGTATTAAGCAAGTAAAAACTGCAACCTGTGGCTTGCTTTTGTTTTGCTTAGAAAGCAGTGAATCTCGTGCCTAAGAATCTAATCAATTTGATTTTTAAAGTGTTTAAAAATGTACAAAATCCCTGTCAACATGCAAGATACAAAATAATCTCAAAAAAAACAAACATCATGAGACATATCTCACCTCATTAGACCATATATTTGAGCGCTTCCTTAAAAAAAAAAAAGAAATGGCCCAAAGTGATAAAAATTCACATAAGCATATCCAGTCCTTTTTTTTAAAAAAAAAAAAAAACCATGTAAACCATGTCTTGGAATTAGGAGAACATGTAAATCACTTCTTGGCATTAGGAGAATAATCAGTCTGCTAGTTTCCTCAAGTACATCTATAAGGAGGAGAATGGAAGCTTTCACATTCTGTTTTATACTAAGTAAGTTGTTCTTAAGCTAACACAGCCTGCAAAGTCATGCCCCATGCGACCCTTCCCCATGTATATATATATATATATATTTCCAAATAATTTTAAGTTGAATATAGACTACAGGGCCCTTCTTGACTTTTAAACGCTGTCGTCCCCCCCCCCCCCCCCCCCCCAATAAAGAAAAAATTTAAATGGTGACATAAAATATTTCCTGCTGTGGGAAATGTCATGTCTGGCGATTGCAAAACTTGCTGGTACTGCCTACCATTTATAATAATAATAGTAACAACAACTTTATGTCTCCCTGAAGGGACTCAGGGCGGCTTACATATGGCACAATGTGCCAAGACAAAGCATAAAATAAACACACAGTGCCATACAATAAAGTAAAAACTATAGCCTTATAAAAACAACAGTTTTAAACTCATAACAATGCCCAATGACCTATGGTGACAACTGCCAAATTGTAATCAAACTGTAAACAAGACAAGGGAATGGGATCGTGCAAATTGTAAGTAAGGAACAAGATATGAGATAAAAGTGCAGTGCTGTGTCATTAATTGCAGACCATTGGGCTAGGCGTTCTCAAAGGCTTGCTTAAACATCCAAGTCTTCAGATTTCTACGGAAGGAGGTCTGAGCTGGGGGGGGGGGGCACCACTGAGAAAGCCCTCTCCCTCATCCCCACCAAACATGCTTGTGATCAAGGGGCAGGAGAATATGAAAATGGTCTCCCAGCTATTAGAGCATGCCCACCTCTGGATTGAACAGTCTTGTGGGACAGGGATCAACTAACCAATAAGTTTTAAATAGGAAGTGCGTACATTCTTCTCAACTATG